TCATTACGAATGGTTCAGTTGAGTGTTTATTGACTATTTTTTTAATGATCGGACGTGTCCTAGTGCGGGATGTTCAATTTCATGTTTTTCATGGATTATTGTTATTATACTAGATAGACAAGTCTTAAACCACCAGTACCTCCGCCAGTGTTGGGAAATTACGTTGTCCTGGCGAGTACCCGAAGTTTTCGGGGGTCGGACACAGGGTTAGCAATGTCCTAAAAATCATAGTTTTATTTTGTCCGTGCACAAAAGGAAAAGGAAAAAAAAAAGGTCTCTGTAGTGCAATGATGTCGGGCAGGGTAGTCTAAGAGGTCGTACTCACAATCTTGAATGCATCTTACAACAAAGATGGTCACATTCTGAAACTTGTTGTTGTTGTTTTTTTTTTTCTCTTTTGCTTTTTATGTGTCCCCTGCCAACGAGGCAGGGTGGAATCCGTGATCTGCTCTAGCTGTGTTTCCTCATATGATTGTAACCTGATGTATCCATCCATTTTCAAGGCCGAATCCGTGTTTCCATTTTTTTTTTTTTTTTTTTTTTTTTTTCTGGAATCTAACAATCTGAATCCGTGATCTTCTCGAGTTTTGTTCCCTCAGAGGATTGTAACCCTGATCACACTGACACTTACGAGAATGAATCTTGTCATTTTCACGGTGGAATCCGTGTTCCTGTCTTTTTTTTTTCGCGTTTCCGGAATCTGACAACCTGGCCACGGGGCTAAGATGCCCTCACGGAGGGCACACTCACACTAACACTTTCGATAATGTATACAACTGCAATCACGCCCAGAGCTTTGTTTCGTTTTCTTGTTATGTTAGTTTTCACGACCACAACTTTTTTTTTTTTTTTTTTTTTTTGTTCTTCCCGTGAGAGTACCATAAAGAAATGAAGTGGGACCCAGGCTCGGCAAAACTCGGAGCGCAGTGAAAATCAGGGTCGACAAAAATAGGCTCGGAGGTACTGGTGGTTTAATGCGAGTGGTCTAGCTGAGTGTTTATTTAATAAACTGTTTGTTCATAAAAAAATCATAATGTTTTTATTGAAATACAAGACAACGCGAAACCAAGAATCAAGGTTATTTTAAAACTTAGTTCAAGTATTTAGTTCAAGTATTTAGTTCAAGTATTTTATATCGAAACTTTATCAGGTTATCTTTTAGGTACTACGTTAGCTGCATGAACGATCGGTAAATGCAGGAGCGTTAGGCACTCTATCACGAGTTGGGTTAAGTTAGTGACAAAGTCTTATGAGTAATTATGGTGACTCAAAGAAAATTTAACAATCATAATTTTGATAATCTGCTTCTCTACGGGAGATGTTATTGAAATTTTTATTGTATGAGTGAGCTAGTCAAATTTTCGGAAAAAAACATAAGACTCAAATGTTATCTTCTTAAAGGAGTAGTTGTTAAAACTGTAATAAATTAGAGACATAAATTATTTTGCTAATAAGAGTGGTGCCATACCACAAAACTGACAGTGTGTTTACCTTCTGATATAGTATTATAAAACTTATTATATATACAAAAATAATAGTTCTCGTTGCAACAATAATTAATCAATAAAATCCGATTTTATATTTTTAAAATATTTTTTCTTTAAATAAATAATCAATTTTTATTTTTTTTATTTTTTCAATGCACAGATAATTGTTATAACATTTGTTTACCGTCGATATTTTTTAACTAATAGTAAGAGTCTATAATTATAATCTGCCACCATATGAAACTTACTTCATTCCGTAACTTGAATAATGTTTTGTTTCAAAAAAATTATCATAAATCTTACCCTTTTGATAAAAAAAGTTATATCGCCGATTTGCAATAATTGATATATTTTTTAATTGTAACAAAAGTTAGAGTGTTTTATTTTTATGGGGCATAAAAGAAAGCACATATACACAAAAATGAGTACGCGGTCACATAGTGACAACACAGCAAAACCCCCGCATGGGGATGTTCGATAGGAAAGATTAACATCATAGGGGTCCCATCCCTTCTCCGCCCCACCTTCAGACCGGCAACCCCAAGAACCACCGAGCGATCCGTCAATAAAAATGGCGGCGGTCGTAGTCACGCGCAGAACGCATGATGAAAATGACAGCCAGACAAAGTCTGTTGTGAAAGAGGAAGAAAAAAGAAACTTAACGAGCTATATACTACAAACAAAATTAGCCTACCTCCGAAATAGTCGGGTCAAACTGCGAAACATCGTAACAAGCTGGCTGTCAGGTCCCAAATAGGACCCCTCTTGGCAGCGAAGTTGTCGAGAATTTTGACGAAAAACTCCGTTGAGAAACCCTTCCTCAGATAAGCCATCTCTAACAGTACCACTTGTCCCGGGATCTTTTCGTGGGAGGACGTATTTCTGTCGATCCGAGTAAGCCACCCGATAATCGCTGCTGCTTTTTGTGTCCTACTGGACCACGAACAAAAATCCTGACCTGCTCGAACGAGCAGGTCCAGGCCTAACTTCAAACAGTCCTCGTTTCGAACCTTCTGAAAAGAACCCACGAACGGATACTTATCTCGGATTTCCAAAGAACAGCCCAAAAATTCCCAAATCCCCATACCATTGTCCGTACGTTTCAAGGACAATGTACGGGGGTAACACTTCTCGAATCTCCTCCTCACATCGGAAGCTCTAATCAGAAAAGACCCGTCATCCTTCTTTACGATGCAAAACAGCGACACGTTATCCATCAGGCGAATACCGTGTACCCAACTACGCATCCCCCGTACGGAGCTCAGGAAGGCCCATTCCGAATGTGCACACATAATACAAGCAAGCGGGGGCTCGTGCTACTCCCCATGGGAATACCCAAAATTTGTCTCAACAAGAAACCCGATGCAAACGTGAAAGTGTGCTCCAAATTGAAAACCACAAAACTCCTCAAATCCTCAAAAGTTATTATACACCAACCCAAATCACCTGCACTCTTGTACAATGATGCTCCCCTCCCCCTCGGATTTACCCACACAACCTGCCTGCCCTTCTTTGCGTGCCAATCGAGAACCCAATCCAGAGCGGCCAAGATAGAGTTATGAGGAAGACGGGAGAACATATCCTTAATGTCATATGATGCTCATGTCATCATGTTCTTTCCCTTACGCTCCGCAACCTTGTTGATGTTTGTTAAATGCCCAGCTAAATCCCCAATAGACTTAAGATTAAAATGATAGCTCGGGGGGAGCTCATTCAACAGACAATTGAGCGCTTTAGCTGCTTTGCGGCCCGCGGGAGCACAAGGCTCACTGAAAGTAGGACAGATGGGACGAAACCTATCCAGGTCCTTATGCTTAGGGACAACATAACTTCGCCCGATACTACCTTTCGTTACCCATTTTTCCAAACGCTCTAGTCCCAAACGTTTATATTTTATCTTCTCTTGTGCCAGAACTTGTTCTTCCGTATCAGTTTGGGTCGCGTAACCGCTACTACACACAAACAGTTCTTGGCAAGCATCGTAGTACAACTTAGGACACATCACCACCGTCTCCCTTGGATTTCGATCAGTCGGGGCCAAGACCAGGTCGCTGTGCAACTCCTTAACCCAATACACAGCTTCCATAGGCGTCTCGTCTGGCACAAAACGAGGACGATTGAGACACATACCAACCTCATCCAAACTAAAAACCAACGGGTCACATCCGTCGAAATTCCAACTCGCACTAGCTTCCGTCAACTCAATGTATAACAAATCGACTCAGTTTGCCTTGCTACATCGGGGGATGTTGCAGGCATTATGCACAAACGAAGGAACACGATGGTCTTCCCAAATTCGAAAACGTACATGTCCATTAGACTGAGGAAGTGACAAGTTTGCACAGGTGCAAACGTCAATCTCCCGGCGCGCATGCCACCGGTGATTGTGTAAAATATTAACAATAGTCGGATTCTTAGTCCAAACTGTTCTAATCTTCCGCTTCAAGGTCTTACGTACCGTCAACGAAACTTGGAGAGAATCAATCTTACCGTCAATTAGTCTGCGCACACCCCCCAAACTGATTCGATCATCGAATTGTATTCTAACTACTAACTTTTTATGGAGTTCAAAGCCATACTCATTCTTAATTGCAGTGTTGATAGTACGTCGGAGCAAAGATCTAGTGCTCTTTCGATGAAAATCTTTGATGACTAGGAACAAACTCAGTAAAAAATTCAAATCAGAACGAGAAGCGAAGGATCGTTTATTCTTGCATTTCAGCAGCGAGATCAAATATCTCTTACCCTTCGTATTAACATTTTTCCATTTACGTAAGTGTCGCACAGTTACCTTCGAGCCCTTCTCCAATTCCGCTTTGCAATCGCGTAATAGGCACGTCCTCTTATCCGTACGGACAATAGATTTGCCAAACCACCTCTTCACTCGTTTCCATCCATCGACCCAACGATTCTCTGGGCTTGACGTCAATGTAAAATTCAACTCACCGTCGACGGCCCTATCAAGTAGAAAGCCCAACAACTTAGTACTAGATTGGCCCTTATCAATACTAAAGCTAATACACTTAACTTCACCAGCGTGTAAGCTATCTAATTTGTACTTCCCCACACGTTGTCGTCCCTCTTTCTTACCTTTCCTCTGTCATCTACAGTCAGTGAGTTCGCGTCCCACGGTATTGAGCACGGGAGACCAATGCTTGATATAGTAACTTTCAATAGCAATCAAGTCGGAGGCTGTAGACTTCACCAATGACAACAGTACGTAGCTTTTACTCCCATACGTCAGCAGCCATCGATGAAAGTGCGACTTCCTCTCCTCCCGGTCTATCTTACCGAGGTGCTCCCTTCATCGTACATTCAAATCCCGCTCGGTCTTACCAATATAGACGACCTTGCAGTAAGGAGAAATACCTATATACACACAGCTGCCCGCTACATCCAATCCGTCGTCATCATCCAAACATCAGCGCTTCCATTCCCCAACGAACTTACTACCCCAAGGTATGCATCCACGTAATGCTAATGCAAAAACCACCCATCTGTAGCTGGCTTCCAACTCATGATCAATTACTCCCAAAACTCTCCGTTTGCAAATCAAGTCACGACAGATAGTCCACAACTGTTGAGTAGAACAGGCACTTCACGCCCCGCTATCGCTATCATCTTCCGAAACTTCTGAAGATGAGGTCGACGGATCTGTTCCGTTGTCCGTAGATGGTTCCGGTTGCGCCTTCTGCCCGGTTGTAATGAGGCGGTTCTTCTCGAACTTCTTAGCAGCACGGCGCTCAGCGATATCAGCGATAGCCTGATTCTTCCGTATATACGAAACTTGTTCGCGCTTGCATATATCCTTCATTTCCTTGTAATCCAATGAAAACAGAAAGTCCTTTGTCTCCTTGATGTAGCGTTCCCTGGCGTCCGGTCCCGATCCCGGGACAATCTCTTGACTCAGGTTGCGTGGTCTGACTCCCAGAGTCTTCCGCGGTCGGCCGCATGTCTTCTGCGGCCGGCCGCATGTCTTCCCCACGCCGTACATCCTCCGCGCGGAATTTGTGAGAGGCATAATGCCCGGGGTGGTTGCCACCCTCTCTTCCTCCGATTCGGAACTCAAGTCAATACGCTCGGTGCTGGCGCTAAGCGCTACTACTTCATCTTCGGTATCCAGATCGTTGGAGGCGATCCTCTGGCGCAACTTCCGTTTCATGGTTCTCGTCTTTCGTTGGCGTTCGCGGCGGCCTTCTACCTCCTGCTCCTGTCTTATGGCACCCCATCTTCGCGACATTTGAAGGTTGATGATACGCGCAATACGTTGATCATTCACCTCTTGCTCATGTTTCTTCCTTTCCCGCCGTCTCTCTTCTCTCGCAGCTTTCTCCAACTCTTCCTGCGTTTTCTTCTTACGCTCTTCCTTTTCCAAGCGCTTCTGATTCTTGGCTTCTTCTTCAGCAAGTAGCATCGCCACCAGGTCAGTTGCAGGGTCTTGAGCACTCTCTGGACGTCTGGCATAGCGCTTCGTGGATGGCGATCTCCTGGAAGCTTCCCCTCGATTTCGTCGTGGTGACGTTGATCGAGCTCGCGGCGGCACATAAGTAGCCGCCCGATCACTGGATTCCGCTTCAGGTGCTAGTTGTCGCCTCCTGTCCGCCTTTTCTTTCTCCTCTTTCCAATGGAGGCCACAGTCGCGGGCATAATGCCCGTATTCCTTACATGAATAGCATTGCGGCGGATTCCTCTGCCCGTTACCACCTTCACCTGGTTGCGGCAGTTGTCGCGTAGATGCCATCACGCTCCTCGGCAGGAACACTCACTCTCTTCCTTAACTTCAGTACAGAACAGTACAGTATCCTTCTCAATCGGTTTTAACCACCAATCGGAGCAGCGACCCTCCGTCGGTTATTAAGTGCTTGCTCAGGGGCATAAAAAAAAGCACATACACACAAAAATGAGTACGCGGTCACATAGTGATAACACAGCAAAACCCCCACATGGGGATGTTCGATAGGAAAGATTAACATCATAGGGGTCCCATCCCTTCTCCGCCCCGCCTTCAGAACGGCAACCCCAAGAACCACCGAGCGATCCGTCAATCAAAATGGTGGCGGTCGTAGTCAGCGACACCTAGAACGCATGCTGAAAACGATAGCCAGACAAAGTCTGTTGTGAAAGAGGAAGAAAAAGGAAACTAAGCGAGCTATATACTACAAACAAAATTAACGTACTTCCGAAATAGCCGGGTCAAACTGCGAAACATCGTAACAAGCTGGCTATCAGGTCCCAAATAGGACCCCTCTTGGCAGCGAAGTTGTCGAGAATCTTGACGAAAAACTCTGTTGAGAAACCCTTCCTCAGATAAGCCATCTTTAACAGTACCACTTGTCCCGGGATCTTTTCGCGGGAGGACGTATTTTTGTCGATCCGAGTAAGCCACCCGGTAATCGCTGCCGCTTTCTGTGTCCTACTGGACCACAAACAAAAATCATGGCCTGCTTGAACGGGCAGGTCCAGACCCAACTTCAAACAGTCCTCGTTTCGAATCTTCTGAAAAGAACCCACGAACGGATACTTATCTCAGATTTCCAAAGAACAGCCAAACAATTCCCAAACCCCCGTACCATTGTCCGTACGTTTCAAGGACAATGTACGGGGGTAACACTTCTTGAATCTCCTCCTCACATCGGAAGCTCTAATCAGAGAAGCCCCGTCATCTTTATGGATGCAAGAAGCAAGTGAAATATTATATTTTATATCATTTTGTTTTGGAACACCTTTATCCACCTAGATCAAATGTTGCCTATCATTTTATATTTCTACAATTAGGTTGCCCTTGAGTTAGATGTTTTCCTTTATTTTTACAATGTTTTCATGATAGGCGTGAAATATTGTTACAAATCATTTAGTACTATCCTAGTTGCTAAGTAAATAGTTATTACTGTCAAGAATAAGTTAATATAAATTTATAAATAATATACATCTTATTGAGTATAAAAAAAAAAATTGTAGTCTGAGTTGTCCATCCGAACGTTCGGGGGCGGTCTCCACCATCGTTAAAATATAATTTTGGGGATTAAATTTTTATTTTTTATTTTTTATTTTTTTTCGAATATTTGGCTGAAAAAAAAATAAAAATAAATCGTCAAAGATGACGATGTAAAAAATGTGTTCGCCCACTCACTATTTTTGTTTTTCCCCTTAAACCTTTTTCAAGTGTGTGTCTATGTAAGAGAATGTTAATTACATTTCTTTTTTCATGATACATATATTTATGTTCATTCTATCTCCATTATTTCATACTTAGGACACTTCAACTTCCAATATTTACGACTTTTTTAAAGAGCTGCAAATTTTCAACATGATTGTTATTTGCCCAGTGCGTGTTTAACAGGTGGTGGTGAAGGGTTTTTTTAAGAGCATTCATAGTCTTCACCACTTTTTGCTTTCTTTTATTATTTTCATGTTGCATTGATATTATTAATTATGTTCACCACTTCAAGTTTGTTCATGATTTTGATGATGCTCTTTATGCATCGGGGAGGGGGGGAGTCATAGCATTCATGATTTTCAACACTTTAGGTCCGTTCATTATTTTCATGATACCTTTTATGCATTACATATGATACTTTTATGCAATTCATTATTTTCACGACTTCGAGTTTGTTTATGAATAAAAATAATGCATAAACCTTAAGTATTGCTTTGATATTATTAATTATGTTCACCACTTCAAGTTTGTTCATGATTTTGATGATGCTCTTTATGCATCGGGGAAGGGGGGAGTCATAGCATTCATGATTTTCAACACTTTAGGTCCGTTGATTATTTTCATGATACCTTTTATGCATTACATATGATACTTTTATGCCATTCATTATTTTCACGACTTCGAGTTTGTTTATGAATAAAAATAAGGCATAAACCTTAAGTAATGACATCATGAAAAACACCACCTCAAAGGGGGGTGTTTTCATATTATTCATGATCTTCGTCGCTTCATTTTTATTCACAATTTTTATTATGTTTTTTTGCATAATGAAAATCATGAATGAACTTGAAGTCTTGAAAACCAAGAATGATATGAACTCCTCTCCTGCCGTTGGGTTGAGACGTACTTCCATATCATTCATAATATTCATCACATCACATTTGTTCATGATTTTTATAATATTGCTTACACATTAGGGGGGTGTTTTCATACTATTCATGATCTTCATCACTTCATGTGCGTTCATGATTTTAATGATGTTTTTTATGTATAAGGGGGGAGGGTACTTTCACATCTTTCATGATGTTCACCACTTCAACTCCCTTCATGACTTTTATGATTTTCTTTATGCATGCGGAAAGAGGGTTTTTATATCATTCATAATCTTTTCCACTTCATGTGCGTTTATGATTTTCATGATGCATAAAAAGTATCATGAGAATTATTAACGGACCTGAAGTGGTGTGATGGTATAAAAACACTTCCCCACAAATAGTCGGGGAGGAATGCTTTCATACCATTCATAATGTTCACCACTTCAGATCCATTCATGATTCTTATGATATTTTTTATGCATCATAAAAATTATCAACAGACTTGAAGTAGTACCAATCATGATGCTCACTATTTTTGGCTCGCTCATGATTTTTAAAGCGGTGAAAATCATAAAAATTTCAAGGGGGCTTGAAATCATAAAAAACATTTGAAATTTCTTAGAAAGAGGTATGAAACTTTGAGATGGGCGAAACAAAAAAGGACTTCAAACATGTGAAAAATAAAGAATTTTCGAGACATGTATTTTTAAGATCGTTATCAGTATCAATAAAATATTTTTTCACCGTTTTCACCATGAACGACCATAACCTCTTAACGAATTCATTATTCAAACATGGTTTTCATAAAAAATCAAATAATTCAATTTACCGTACTTCATAATTTTCATCTATGAAATTTCAGGTACTCGATAACCGCCTGTGTTCTCTGTATGTGTCGATTTGTATGTGTGTGTGTGTGTGCGTGTGTGTATGTGTGTGTGTGTGTGTGTGTGTGTGTGTGTGTGTGTGTGTGTGTGTGTGTATGTGTGTGTGTGTGTGTGTGT